AATAGAGTCCACTCCTTGGGTTGTAGTCTCTGACCGCTAAGCTGGGAGCTGCTCCAGCTACTGAGTAGTATCCTTCCTAACTAAAGTGACCAACCGTTTTCCCTGCACTCCCTAAAGTGCTGATGGGAAATGCAAATGAGACAAGGGACCCACAAATGGAAACGGCACTCTGAGGCTTTTAGGTTTTGGTGGGCTGCATGGACACTACCTTAGAGTCAGGCAGGGGGAGAGTCCCAGGTTCTCGGCTGTGCTGTCACTAAATCCTTAAATGATCTGATCTAGACATACACACATGTGTACACACACACGCGCACACAGTCTAGCAGTGATGCCCATCCGATCCCATACTTTCCTCTGGACACTGGAGCTAAGCTCCCAGCCTTGCCTGGCAAGATTTAAAATTTTCAAAATTTTACACACACCTCCACCCCCACCCCTACCCAATTTTCATAAAGACGACTTAAATTCATTGATAATAAGTCTCTCCCCTCAGAAGAATAAACCCTGGGGCCTAGGCCACCGTTCTCAATGTAAGAGCAGTTCACTGTCCTCGTTTCTTAGTCTCCCACTGCCCTGGTTCTCAGCTTTGGCTACACATTTGACCCATCTGGGTGGCTTTTCTGGTTCCCAGTGAAACCTCCCTGGACCCATGAATATAACCAGAATCTCTGGGGTAGGACCCAGGAGTCAGTATTCTCAAATTTCCAGGTGTTTCCAAAGTGCAGCCAAGGGTGAGAATCTTTGTGCTAGTTACAGAAAAAGATACAGACAACATCAATAGCATCTGTGACTTTAAGCACAATCACATACAACAAAACCAACTTTACCAATGGGCTAATTGATATAAACAAGAGCTAAGTTCCTAGGACATCTCGTCAACATTACAACAAAACGAGGTTGAATGAAATGACGTTATTCGAGAAACTGCTGTACTGAGGATGCCCTGAAGTGAAGGAGAAGAATCAAGAGCGAGAAAGACATGGAAAGCTGCACACAGTGGGCAGGGAGCCAAAGGCAGTGGGCCGAGGTGCTCACTTCCTCCCCAACCCCTGGCAGAGCTGCCAGAAGAAATGGGACGGATGGGAGCAGCAAGTGTGCACTGGCCGAGATGGTGTGGACCATCGCATCCCTCTGCTCTACTACCGCCTGCATCTTCTGAGGACTCGGCACCTTCTTGGCAGCCTGCATTCAGCCACGTTGACTGTGAACTTGAAGGGGGCAGGGCAACGAGTGAAAGGAACAGGCTGCTCAGTGAGATGGAACGAAAGCCCTTTGTGCAGGGATGCTAGATGTGGTGGTTAATTTCTTAATTCTCATCGCAATTCGGTTCACGGGAGACTCCTGGAATGTCTTTATCCATCACAGATGGTTTGGGAAGATGATAAATTAATATCATTTAAATGGAGGCATGGCTTAAATGGTTAAATGGCAACGTCTTCTTTGCTGTCTCCAAAGAGAAAGTGCCCCCCAGTCCATAAAGAAGACAAATGGTAAACAAAACCGCCTATCTTTTGACAGATTCCAGGACGAGTATCATTCACAAACCATTCTGGGGAGAAAAGGGAGAAATTCATCTCATCTGACTTTGTATAGGACAACAGCCCAGGCCATAATGAGGCCTTCCCAGTGCTGTGAAATTGGGCTGAATAGCCAGAGAGTACAGCCGCCTGTTCCCTGGGCATGTTTATTACAGCCCTTTGTATGCACCAGCCCTGCCAGCCCCGGGTTGGTTCTAAACTAGGGGAGGGGAGAAAGAACCCAACAAATTTGTTGCTATGAAACTTCCCAAATGGGGGACTGCATAATAACGTTTGGAATCTAATGCCCTTGCTCTAAGCTGCTCTTGTCTAGGTCCACCCCTACTCTAAATTGAACAAGGTTGGGAGTCAGCCAATCGCCAGCAGTGTATGGGTGGCCTCAGCCCCCTGCTTGGGGCTCCTCCCAGGCCTTTGGGAAGTCAGGGAGTCAAGACGGCCCCGATGCCATTCCTAGCCTTCCTCAGATCAACTGCAAAGTTGAGTCAAGAACCACTGCCAGTTGTCCCAGCTCCCCTGTGAGATGCATCTGAAGCAGAGCAAACAAATGCAGCCTTCACCTGAGGGCTATGATGGGACTTGCTGAGGTCAACCCCAGGAGGCCAGGGCCTGGGGGTGACTCTACACCTACAAGATTTTGGAAGCCTCTGAGAGCAAACCATGGGAGATCAAAATACTGGGGCCAAATGTGTCCACCAAAGGAACCATTTCCTTAAACCATCAGGCCCTGGGAAGACAAAACAGCAGACTCCGTGGGAGTCACAGAGAAGACCCCTGTCTTATGATCTCAAGGTACACATCCCCCAGCCAGCATCTGAACTCCTACAGCTGGTTCCCACCAAGATCTCAGGGTCTCTCTTTGGTAGGAACTGCCCTGCGGGGAAACTGAGGGTTCAAAGTTCCCACATCCCCTAAGGCGGGGAGGGCGGGGGGGACACCAGGAAAAGGAGAGCTGAGAGAAAAGGTCTGGAACTTTCAAGAGATGCCTTTCCTCACCAATGAAATGGCAGGACATTTCAGGTCACATGCTTCTTGCTCACCAATCAGAGAGCAGGTCTTTCAGGCATTCTTTTCTCACCAATCCTGAAGCAGGGCCCTTCAGGCGATCTTTTCCCTCACTAATCAGTATTAGGAGCAGCCAAGTAGTGCTTTTCCTCATCAGTCAGGTGGCAGGATCCTGGAAGCACTGTCTTTCCTCACTAATCAGGATGCATTGAGAGTCTCACACTCTCCTGTCTCACTTCCCCAGTAGGATATGCAGGTATCCTTCTGAGCAGAATCCATCCATCCATTTCTTCTCTTCTGTGGGTTCTTCTCCCAGGGTTCCCACCAAGGCTGGGGGCAGCTGCTGTCCAGGGCTGGGAGGGAAGATGGCCACTAAGGCTGGTCACAGCATTTGAAATAATAAGACAGGACGATACTCTTGTCTGCCTGCATCTGTTCCTCCTGGGAACCAGCAAAAGGAAGCTGGGTGTCCCCACACCGTTTAACCAGAGTGGCAGAGCCCCATAAGATGATCTGAAGGTTCCCAGAACCCTACGGCTTCTTAACACCTCACCCAAAATGGTGAGAGACCACACATGGCCCTTGTCCCTTCCCACTGCATCAGAAGAGAGGGAGGTGAGGCAAAACGGCGAGATGGCCAAGGCCCTGCTCCTTCCTGTCTCTCCAAGGGACATACCTTGCCTGCTTTGACAGCAGGCTCTGACACGACAGTACATGACCACTGCCCTTCCACGCAGAGCCCAGACCTTCTCACCTACCAGCAGATTTCTCCACTTATCCACCTGAGTGGCCCCTGTTGCTTAAAACTTCTTGGCCAAATCCCCAAGAAATCTATGGCAACCAGTTGTTTACAAGACCCCGGCTTCGGTTTCTTCTGTAAATGAAAGACAATGAACACTTGGGCATAGGCAAAGGAGTTGGATACCTTCCAATTACATTCTCTGAAAACCCAAAGGCCACTCTCCCTGGGCACGTCCCTGGCTCATGCCTTCCTGCCACTGTAGGTGCTTCTTGGGTCTCTTTGCCCAGGCCACCTTCTCAGTGGTTGTTCAAAGTCCCCTGGGGGAGTCTCACCTGAGTCAGTTGGGGTTGGTTTTTTTTTTGATGTGGAAATAGCCCAACTGCCTTAATGCTTAAATTTCTCTTGATAACCACAAAAGGCAGCCTGAAGTCCACAGATCTAGAAGGAGAGCTTGCTTGTGTCTTGGGAGCCACCCTGCTCATTTGGAATGGAAGGGATTTCTCCTGGAAATCCCAGGGAACCTGTTTTTCTGGAGAAAAGCGTTCCATACACACAAGGCTGTCTTCATGGGCCCCACACTCAATAAGGGCACATGCTTGGTTGAAGCTCTGCTGTTGCCATTTGAAATTCTTAGTAATTCCTGAACAAGAAGCCCCATATTTTCATTTTGCACTGGGGCCTGCAAATTATGTCATCAGTCTTGCGCGTAAGTGCCTGACATCTGGTGGATTTCCTGTTAAGAAAATGATAGTTTCCCAACAGAAGGATTTATCTGCTGCCGCTCATCGTCTGGGCCTGAATCTGCCATGGCTTGGGTCTCTCCTGTGTCAGGACCCCATCTATGCTGGCTTGTAGCCCAAGAGCCCTCAGAGATACTATCTTCTTGGGAAGCCACGTTCACTGCAAGCGCTGGCTCCAGACCCCAAATTTTGGACCCAAAGAGCCCTGGTTCCTGGAATTCCCCAAAGTTAATGTGGGGTGGGGGGCCCCACTTCTCCCCCCCGTTCTACCCCCAGCCCAACATCACTAAATTCCCTGGCATCTCATCAGCGTCTCTGAGTCATCTCACCATTGCTTCATTTTTGTTAGTGGGAGAAAACAAACAGCAGAAAGTTAAAATATTAGTGCTTGCTTCAGTGAACGAAAATAGAGTCTCCTGTCTCCCCTTCATTTTTTGTCCTGAGAAGTAAAGCTATTTGCAGGTGGATTAAATGTTCCTTCTAAGACCCTGCCCTTGAAGCTGTGACTGTGTGTGTCTGTGTCTGTGTGAGCGCTGGGGGGCCAGGGGGCGGGCGGGAGGCACACACATCCAAAGAAATCCGCCTGCCTGGTTTTGGTAAAAGAGAGTCCTTTGTGCCGACGGTAAGCCTGGTGAACATGACCCCCCGCCCTGTGGTATGCGGCACACCTGTGCGGAGGGACGAGAAGCCGGGAGGGGGCGGGGGGCGGCGGGCTGGGAGCTCTGCACCTTCGCAGAGATCACACCTTCTTCTTTCTTCTCCCTGGAGCCGTTCCTCCATGCCCCTTTGTTTCAGCTTACACCTCCGAATACCAGGGAGGTCGTGCGTGCGTGCGCGCGTGTGTGTGTGTGTGTGTGTGAGCGATTATGTCGGCCTATGTCTTTTTGTAGGGGGACTAGAAAAAAGACATAGAAAAGGAGAAGCCCAGAGAAAAGAGAGGGAGGATGGCGTCCCCGAGGCCCCGCCCCCACCGCCTACCTTTGCAGGCCTTCCGGTGGGTGATGGGCTTGCCCATGTCCCGGTAGTAGCCCTCCTTGCAGTAGTGGCAGTGGCGGCCCGCGGTGTTGTGGCGGCAGTTGAGGCAGACGCCCCCGCTCTTGCGCCCCGACAGCTTGTAGAGCTCCATGTTGAAGCGGCAGCGTCGGGCGTGCAGGTTGCAGTTGCAGGCTGTGAGGGAGGCAGGAGAGGTGTCATGAAAGGGGCACCTGCGAGGGGGGTAACCCCCGAAAGACACTGTCCCCCCAACTCCTCCCTCCTTCTCCACTGCAGGTCGGGGAGGCAGTCTTTTCTCCCTGGCTCCTGGGATCCCCGGTTGGCATCCGTCAGCACTTACTGACCACCTCGCAGTACCTGAACCATGGCTGAGGCCCCTGCTCCCTCTCAGAGGGAGACTGTTCGTTTCCCTCAACCCCGGGGCCCATGGCACACATCTCAGAGTTGGGAGGCGGTGTTGGCATCCTCCTTGCGCCCAAATCCTGCTTGCTAGGGGCTGAATTGTGTCCTCCACCCCCACCTCACCCCCCACACACACCCATTCATATGCTGAAACCCTAACCCCATGACCTCCGAATGTGACTGTTGTCTTTGGAGATAGGGCCTGGAAGGGTGTAATTAAGTTAAAATGGGGTCATTAGCATGGTCCCTAGTCCAATCTGACTGGTGTCCTTATAAGAAGAGGAAATTTGGACACAGAGAAACACCAGTGTAGCACACGCATAAAGGAAGGCTCCTGTGAGGACACAGGGAGAAGGTGGCCATCTGCACGCCAAGGAGAGAGGCCTCAGGAGAAACCAACCCTGCCGACACCTCGATCTTAGATTTCTAGCCTCGAGACCTGCGAGAAATAAATGGCTGCTGGTTAAGCCACCTGGTCTGAGGCGTTCTGTAACAGCAGCCCAAGCAGCTTGGGCACTGCTTCCAGGGCACTGACCTCTAACTGCACACACTCGCCATCCCCTTGAGCTCTGGCCACCACTGTGCTCTCCTTCCCCCGCTCCTCCTCTTCCACTGAGGGCTCTGGGGCCTGCTGCACCGTCTCCCTGCCCACCATCAACTGGGCGACCTCCCACACTGCTGGCTTCTGGGTCCTCTGGAGAGAGGGCCCTCAGCATCCTCCTCTCTGGTTCCTTCTGCCCACTCCTGCTCCCTTCTGCCCACTCCTGCTCCCTTCTGCCCACTCCTGCTCCCTTCTGCCCACTCCTGCTCCCTTCTGCCTTTTCCCTACAAGCTCCTCAGGACTCAGCACCCTTTTCCCTTGGCTCTGATGCTCTTCAGGTCGGCCTTGTTCACCCCTCATAGCGGCAGGACTGCCTCTGCACTCCAAACTCCCAAATCTGTATTTCCAGTTTCCACTTTGGGGTTTTCTGCTTGGACCCAGAGGCGCCTCCTCCAAATCTATTCACTCCTCTCCATCCCGCCAGGTCTTGGCTCCTCTGTCGCCTGAGCTGAGCCCTCCAGGCTGTTCTCCACACTGTGACCAGAGCAGGAGTTCCAAGCACCAATCTGAGGATGTCCTTACCTACTGAAAATCTTTTCAATAGCCCGCAGTTTTTCCTCTGGATAAAATCTAAATCCTTTCACACAGCCTCCAGGGCTCTGGATACTTGATCCTGCGTCCCCCTTTCGCTTTTATGCTTCAGCTGTAGCAAACTTTTTCAATCTCTAGGGCATGCCCTGTGTGAGGACCCCTGCCTGCCCCCTCTGTGCCTTTGCATATGCTGTTTCTTGACTCCTGGACCCTCTTCTCCCAAGCCACCTCCCTCATCTGCCTGCATCCTTCTCATCCTCCATATCTTGGTTTCAATGTCACTTTCAGGCCCATTTTCACCTCTCACCAGCCTGGCTTTAGGCACAGGGGCTGTCGGCTCCCCCAGACAACCACAGAGCCCTCGTGATATCACACTGTGACACCTACTGCCCGCCTTCTACCTTCGGTCTCTAACTCCAGGGTAACTCCAGCTTAGATCATCTTGCTAACTCTGTAACACTTCTTTTGTTTGCCCCACTTTTGTGCTAAGCTTGTTTTAAATTGCATTTTATGTAATTTCTAAAGGAATACATGTTTAATGCCAGACCCTGGAAACACAAAAGCAGAAAGGAAAAAATTGCACTCAGCTCTCCACCAACTGCTGTTAACACGGGGGTCCTTCCTTGTAGGCTTTAATTAACATGTGCTGAGCTCTGGAGCTACTTAATGCTTTCCTATAGACATGGATCACACTTGTACATCTCATGTTCGTAGCCTATTTTCTCATAATGGTGAGTATTTTTTAGTGTCAGATACCATTCTTCATAATTTTGAAAGGTTGTCTAGTCTGCCAGTGTACGGATGCATGTCATGGGCTCGTTGGATCTGCAGTGGGTGCATTTAAAAGCAGGGCCGCCGCGGGGTACGTAGTTAGGTTGTTTCCAGTTTTTCACTATTATTAACAACACAGTGGTAACCATCTTTGAACACACATATTTGTGCTCTGCTGTGATGCCTGTTGTACAGTAAATTTCTCAAGACAGAGTTGGTAGTTAAATTTTGGGTCTACATGTTTTTAACTCGGGATTCAAATTGCCAAATTGCCCTCAAGAATGGCTGTCCTAGCTTACACTCCCATCAGCAGGATATGAGAGCTCCGATTTCGCCACACCCTTGAAAAGAATAACAATATGCATTTGGTATCAGCATTCTTTTTTTAAATCTTTGCCAATTCGTCCGGAAAACACACACACACATGATTTTAATTTGCGTGTCTCTGATTACCAGTGAGGTTGGATGTTTCTCCATGTGTTTGTTTTTCTATTTATATTTCTTTTTTTTTTTGTACATTGCCTGTTCATACCATTTGCCCAGTTTTCAAATAAGGTGGGGTGTTTTTTTTCCCATGATGTCTAGTGCTCTTACATACGATGGATTAAATACCATTCATTTTTTTCTACCATACAAGCTGCAAACATTTTTACCAGTTTCTTATTCATATATTACATTTATGGTTTAAAAAAATATTTGGGACGGCCGAGTGGCACGTTGGTTAAGAGCTGGCTTGGGACACCAGAGGGCCCCGGTTCAGATCCCACATATGAGGGCCAGTGACACTGCCCTCTACAGCTAAGATACTGAACAACAGCTCAACCTGGAGCTGGGCTGCCCTGAGTCGCTGGCGACGGCGTAGGCTGCAGCCCCTGCTGCAGTGGGTTCCCATGGGCTACCGTATGTAGCCAGCAGCCTTGTGAGCAGCCAGCAGCTGCTGTGAAAGGCGTCCAAAAGCCGGTGACTGATCTGCCTCGCCCGGGAAGAGCTCAATGATGGTGCCAACTTGGGCCAGTGAAGCAACGTCCTCCACAACTAGACTGAAGAACAAAAGGACAGCAAGTTGTCTGTTCCCCTTCCCCCAATTCCCCAGTGCTGTTCCCATCCCCTAATTCCCCAATAAAAATCTTAAAAAAAAAATATTTGCCTGTTTAACTTTTCTCTGTGATATTATAAGCTTCTTCAAATGTTTTTCCTGGAGTAACCCTCCCATTAGTCTCTCAATTTACAAGTAGAGATGGACAAGTGCTTTAGAGGACGTACTGTGGGGAGATAAGAGAAGACTCGGCTCACACCTTAAGTCTGGAAGCAGATGGATGCTGTATTAGGCCAGAGAATGACTCCTGAGAGCCTTACCAGCATCCCTCAGCACCTCCAGCTCTTGGGGCTGAGCTCAACTAAGTACAAAGAAAGAAGCTGCCTATCAGCACAGGGGACCCTCACGCATATGAAAGTTAATGATCCCTTTGGACTCACTCAGCCAGTCAAGGGTGGTGGGGGCTGCTCAGAGGAGTGAACTGACCTACCAGTCCAGAAACACCGAGCCAATAAATGGGGGGCCCAGGACTGGAAACCAGGTCTTCTGGCTCCTGGTCCACTGCCCCCGAGGAGAGAACACACATCACTGGAAGGAACAGCTGGGCCTAGACTACAGCCTGGAATTTGGATCTTTCCTACTAACACAGATGTCACAGGGCCTGACACACCTGCCTGGGGACAGGGATCTGGAAAGATCACCCAGGCCTCACTTCCTCAGGCCTCCCTGACACTGGGAAAGACCTCAGTAGCAGCATCTTCTTGGTCCTCCTTGGAGGCAGATGCTAACCCTGTGTCCTCCTCTGCAAGGACAGCTCCAGCTATGCCCCATTTCCCCAGCAGGGCTGCCCCAGCCTCTGGGCCCCTCCCGGAAGCTCAGCCCCAACTCATACCCAAAGGGGAGCCCTGGGTTGCTATTCTCTCTTCCATATGCACCTTACACCAACAAAAGGTTCTTCCCAAACAACTGGTCACACAAAAGAAAACTCAGAGAGAGGCCAAACATCAAAAGACAGGCCTCCCTGCCCTCCCCCTTGCTTTTGGAGCTGTCAGGGGACATCAAGTGGCAATTGCCCATGCTCAACCTTCTGCAAAGTATTTTACAGCTTGTTTTCTTTTCTCTTTGTTTTATTTTCTCTGCACAAATGGAAAAATGCATCGGGCAAAGCAGCTCACATCTGGATCCCTTGGCTCCACACAGAGATGTCACCCAACTCCCAGCCTGTCCCCAGCCCCTTCCTCAGAAAGACACCTTAATCCCTCACGCCTTCCTGTTTATCTGCTGCCTCTCTTGGAGGCAAAAATATTGGGTATTAGTTTCATTATCAGATTTCAAGGCGGGAGGAAAGGGCAGCTTTGTGAGAACAGACAGGTCAGCCTGGGGGAATAAGGGTGGGGGCAGGGGCCATGCAACTTCTGAGGAACCTGCATAGGCTGCCCTGTGAGGCACTGCATCCTGTCCAGGGGTCCCCAGTCACCCAGAGAGAGCTGGTTTGGTCTAAACCCAGAGCTCTAGGCGCCCCTCCAGTGTCATGTGGGGATCACCAAGGATGCATCACGTGCAGTTGCATTTCAAACCCAAGGGCATAACATGGGGCAGGAGGGAGGTGGAAAACCCACACACACACACTCCCCAACCAGAAACCTGACAGGAAATGGGGGCCAAGAAATAGGATTCTGTTTTCCTCTCCCATCAAAAGTGCTCCTAAGTCCTATTTTAACATATGCTGGTGACCACCATTTCTTAACCTTTCCCACCAACCCAGACTGTCCAAGCCCTCGCCACTCCCAGGCCAGTTCAATTCAACACACATTTAGGCAATTCAGCTACATG